GCCCAGTCTACCTATTTATGTGGACTTAGCCCTTATTCATTAAGAAATATGCAGGTTTCCAGGAAAAAGAGTAGTATCTACCATGTACCTTGTTAGCCAATTGTGAATATGATCTCATAACTTCAATCCTGGTATTAAAAAAAAAAAAAAAAAAAAGACAGATACCAAATATACACAAAACTTAGGCTGGTGAAAAAGCCTACTCTACCTATTTATGCAGTTTAACATGTATAACTTTCTTGAAAACAGAAAAACAAAAACAAAGATAATTTTTTTAAACCCTGAAATTCAGCTCCTAAAACAATATTAACACGAACAAGAAAACTAAAACATGCAAAGTAGTGATGGCTAGGCTATCAAAAATAGATTTCCAGCTGGGCACGGTGGCTCACTCCTATAATCCCAGCACTTTGGGAGGCTGAGGTGGGCAGATCACCTGAGGTCAGGAGTTCGATACCAGCCTGGCCAACATGGGGAAACCCCATCTCTACTAAAAATCCGAAAATTAGCTGGGTGCGGTGGTGCGCACCTATAATCCCAGCTACTCGGGAGGCTGAAACAGAAGAATAGCTTGAACCCAGGGGGCAGAGGCTGCAGGCAGCCGAGATCGCACCACGACACTACAGCCTGGGCAACAGGGCAAGACTGTCTCAAAAAAAAAAAAAATTGATATCTGATATCTGGTTTTACTTGTAATAAATATCAACCCTAGAAGTGATATGTAAGCAATGCCATCATTTTTGTTTCACAACAAAGATAGCGTTTTTGTGGCTGAGAGAGCCCTGGGGTGCCTCCCAGCTTGGTCTCTCCAGTCCCTACTAGCCAGTGGGAGTGCTCACACTTGCAAGGTCTCAGGACCTGCCTGACATTTAACACATGGAGGCCCTCTACTCACTGGGTCTCTGAGCTTCAGGGGATGTGTTGGCAGAGGCGGTACCCTGCCTAGCACACAGTGGGCAGGTGCTTTCACTCAGTGAGTGCTCATTAGCATGAAGGTGGGTTCTGGGGGGCTTCTGAAGGTGCCCTTATGTTTCCTTTACTTTTTTTTAGAACAAAATAATGATACATGAATAACTTGGAAAATATTCTCAGTGAAAACTTGATTCTTTAATGTCGGCTCTGTTGGACACTTGCTCCTAGTAAGATGGGAATTAAACATAATTAATAACCCTTTGATCCTACTTGTTTTTGACTACTTTCCTATGACTACTACTACTACTACTACTACACCTAATTAACCTGGTGACACCTACAGCATAATAAATTCCCTAAGGCAGTTCCCTAAGAGAATCAGAAATATCTTCAATGACTGCTAATTTAATGGAATGCCCTTGAACTCTGGAGGCGTGCTGCCCCTGTGAGCTCACACCTACACTGCGGCCAAGAGGAAGCAGCAGGGCCTGACTGCAGAACTCCAACATCGCCCGCAAGCCCCTTCACGACTGCCTCCTGAATTCCCAAGACAAACACCAAGTACACAGCCAGGGCTGTTTCCCCGACAGGAGCTTGGGAAAATCTTCCTTTAATACTATGATATGCACCTCACAGAAGGAAAAGCCAAATGCATCACTGTCTCTAATTAAGTAAGAAGCATGATAGAGAAGGTTTCATTTCTGTAAGATAAATACTTCTGTAAGTAAATGTGGATTAATAATAAGGATAACATTTAGAACTTTCTAAGAGCTAAATGACTTGTAAAATATGCAACTGCTTATTTTTCTGTGACAAGTCTAAAACAAACATTGTTAATGAGAACATCAAGATGTTAAAACACAGTTGATTCCATGGGCCTCTTTCTGCAGGGTACCTTGTGAGAGAAATTCCTGCTCATGAGGGCCCTCGCTTTGTGGGTTTCACCATAACTGGTCCCATGCAGTGCCAGCATGTGGTTTTCACACACATTTTGCTTCCATATACATTTTAAAACATGGCTAACTTTTTGTGGAGACAGGGTCTGGCTATGTTGCCCTGGCTGCTCTCAAACTCCTGGGCTCAAGCATCCTCCTACCTCAGGATCCCAAAGTGCTGGAATTACAGGTGTGAGCTGCCACTCCCGGCTATGCATGGTGGTGTATGCCTGTGGTCCCAGCTACTCAGGAGGTAGAGGCAGAAGGATTGCTAAAGCCCAGGAGTTGGAAGCTGCAATGAGCTATGATTGTGCTACCAGCACCTATGGCCTGGACAACAAATGGGGACCCTATCTGAAAAACAAAACAAAATGAAACAAACCCAAAACCAAAAAACCCCACATGGAAACACCGTGTTTCCATTAACACAGTGCCTTGCAAAACAAGGACTGCCTGTACTTGAAATTCAGTTTAAATGCCTTAGCTACAGGAACAGCTCATGTTAAAAAGGCAAATATTTTACCTTGTCTTTATCAGTTTGTAAATACAGAGCTGAATACAAGTGCCAACATACTCTGATCGATTCTGGGACATGGTGTGTGGAGTGCAGCACCTTCGCTTTTCTACTGAGCAATAACTTGGGTTAAACAACAACAGAAAAATGGTGTTTCTGAGAGAAGGCTTTATAGCCTGAAGCTATGAGATAATTCTTTCATAAGGGGGAAATTCTTAGGACAAATAAACATGTTTCAGTGGAATCTATAACGGGATGCCAAGCATGCAAACATATACGTGTCCAGACACAGAAGCAGATACATGTTCCTACTGGGACCTGTTCCAGCTGCACCTGGAGGCTCAGCCTTGACTCTGACTTACTAGCTGGGAGGTCTCAGGTACATCCCACGTCAAGCAATTGCAGTCAAGTTGAATTCAATAATGAGACTTAAATCAATGAGATTTAAATCAGCCCAGGTATGTGTATTGCTAAGAAAGCCCCCACTGTCTTTCAATGACTGTTTATACCTATGGCATCATAAAAATTATATACCTGGTTTTTGTCCCCACTTCATGACACAGAGCTCCTAAAACACTTGGAATATCTGAGTCACTAACAAGCCATTTTCAACCTAATGAGGTGCCTTTAGTGGGCCCAGGATAGCTTTAGGAGACAGGGTCTGGACATCAGAAAGACCAAATATGTGATTAGCAGATTGGATTCGAGCGTGATGGCTCACGCCTGTAATCTCAGCACTTCGGGAGGCTGAAGCAGGTGGATCACCTGACACCAGGAGTTTGAGATCAGCCTGGCCAACATGATAAGACCCTGTCTCTACTAAAAATACAAATATTAGCCAGGCGTGATGGCGCATGCCTTTAATCCCAGCTACTTGGTAGGGTAAGGCAGGAGAATCCGCTTGCACCCAAGAGATAGAGGTTGCAGTGAGCTGAGATTACACCACTGCACTCCAGCCTGGGCAATAGAACAAGACTCCATCTCAAAACAAACAAACAAAAAAGACTGGAACTTTCCGTCCTTCCCCTCATCTCCAGGGAGGGCACCGTGGCTAAACTGAGTTCAATGAGCAATGGTCAGTAATGTCATTACTCACACCAACTTAAGAAACCTCCATAAAAATCTCTACATGAGGGGTCTGGGCAGCTTTGAGTTTGGTGAGCACATGGAGGTGCCGGGAGGTCAGGTGCCCAGAGAGGGCAGGGGAGCACTGCGCCCACCCACTGTACCTTGCCCAATGCCTTGCTTCCATTTGGCTGTGCCTGAGTTGTACCCTTCATAACAAAGCAGCCAGTGTATGAAAGTGTTTTCCTGAGCTCCATCAGTCATGTTAGGGAATTATCAGACCTGAAGAGAGGATTGCAGGAACCCCCAAATTGTAGCCAATCGGAAGTACAGGTGGCCCCTGGAACATGCGATGGGCCTCTTGTGGAACTGGGGCCTTAACATTCAGGGTCTGGGCTAACCCTAGGAGTAAGTGTCAGAACTGAACTGAATTGCTATACGGCCCACTTAGCTTCAGGGAATCAGAGGTCTGTGCACTGTGGCACAGGTTCTGGCTGCCTCTATAGGTTCAAGATAGTAAGCTACACCCTGGGCAAAAAAAGAAAAGAAAAAAAACCCAGGTGTTTCAAGACTATTCCAAGTAGCTCAGCTTTATTGGGAAGGAGGTTTCTGAGTAATTTCCCTGAACTCGTGAATGGTGTAACTGGTTAGCAATGAGAGGTGTGGTGTGAAAAAGACCTCTCACTGAAAGGCTTCTCCCAACCAAACCACTAAAGTCCTCACATGCAGGAACCCAGGGGAAGGAGGCATTTGCAGGGACTTACACTTACATCACAGGGGAGCCCCCCATTTCAAGGGTGCCTTGCTGTGATTCTAGAATCTGTACCTGCAGATCATTCAGGCCAGGGACTCCATCTCAGCAGTCACAGGGCGGTCAGAGGAATCTGGAGCCACGCCTAGCCACCACAAGCAGTCAGCTCTCTAAACGCTCTGCCCAGGTCACCTGAGGAGGAGTCTCATATAACAAGAAGAGGGCCATCTCCACTGCATACCCTGCATGGTCAGCCAGCCGTGGTGCAGGACAGGGGGCGCCATGGTATAGGAGCCCACCAGCTGCCACTTTCCGATGGAGAAATGGATGGAAGTCCAAAAACTTGGCAATAAAACCCCAACATCACTACATAAGCAAAAACTCTGCAGCAAGTGATGAGCACTCTATAAGCAGTTGGGGAGGGGAAATGAGTTTTAGTGACTGACATCTGAATTGCAGTGAATTCTCACCTCAAAGGCTGTAACTTGGAAATAAGGCTGTTGTAAGCCCCACATCATTAAAACTTCTGCTTCCCTGGAAAATGTCTGAATAGGCCTTGTTCTGGCACTGTAAGCCTCTTAGACTATCCCTGAGACCCAGTGGATTCTGGCTGAGTCTCACTGGCCTGGTGACTTAGGTGTGGCTGTGACTTCTCACAAAATCTTCCAGCCAGGTCATCTCCCTGCCCACATACCCAAGTTCCAGGGAGCATTGCAAAGTGGCCTTCAACAGCACATACCACAACATTTAACAAACATGACGTGGATACGATTTGGTGGGACATGGTTGTGGAACATGGCCCATCTCACCAGCACCTGCTTACCTTCTCCATAGGAGGAGGGGGAGAGAACCTCTTGGCACAAGCTAGGAAGATGTCAGGGTCTGGCTTGCCATGCTGCACTTCAGGGTCGTCTCCCAGCACGATGTGAGAAAACAAGCTGAAGAACTCCTTGTGCTGGCTTGTCTTCATCTCGAACGATGCAGACCCTGAGCTGGTGGCCAGGGCAAAGGGGATGCCGTGTTTCCACAGGTGGAAGATGAGTTTCTCGGCCCCTAGGGAGGAGGAGGGAAGGACTGCGGTGAGGGGTGAGGCCTCCACCACAAGGCCTTCTTCCAGGGACGGTCCCTCCAGCTGTGTGGCAGCACACTCTCAGGCTTCGTCTTCTGAGGAATTTCTGACCTAGGACAGGTTGTCTAAAAGGGGCTGTCAGCTCTAAAACATCCCTGCTCAACATAAAACAAACCAAAAAATCAAAAAAGCTATTGGGGGCTGAGCGATGGCATTTCCCAAAGGAACAGAAGAGGAGCACTCTGGGAGGCATTGCCGCTTTGTCTGCTGGGCCTCTTGATGAAATGTGGACAAGGGCAGGGGGCAGGCCTGGACATGATTGGACCTGGGATCTGGGCAGGCCACCAAGGAAGGCGCCACACAGCAGGGCATCGCTGAACCATACTTTTTTCCCAAAGCAGTCAATACACAAGGGCTATGCTTTTGGTGTTTTCTGCAAAAATGCTGTATTCTGCAGAAAACATTTAATCATTCTTCACACTGCTTAGGTGAGGAAATCACACAACGTCCCCCACCAGATGCTGAAGAAGGCTGCAGCTGGCTGAGGGATGGCTGCGGTGCTACTTAACAAGGGATCAGGGGACAAAAGAAAGCTGCTGAACACAGCTGATCAACAGCAACATGCCATATGAAAAGAGCATCCTCAGGCTGTCCTTAGTCATATGGATTAACCACAGGGACCACATGGGTTCAGGGAGGTCGTCACAGAGCCAATTACGAGAGGAGTAGCTATCAGAAAGGGTAAAAAATACCAGGAGTCCTTACCACCTTTAACTTATGCTAACTAGCACAACAGGAACATCTAAATCCACACAAGGTATGACAGTTTATCTAAAATTGTATTTTATTTTTGAGACAGGGTCTCTCTCTGTAGTCCAGGCTGGAGTGCAATGGCTGATCTCGGCTCACTGCAACCTCTGCCTCCCAGTTTCAAGCGATTCTCCTGCCTCAGCCTCCTGAGTAGTTGGGACTACAGGCACGCGCCACCACGCCCAGCTAATTTTTGTATTTTCAGTATAGATGAGGTTTCACCATGTTGGCCAGGCTGGTCTCAAACTTAGCCTCAGGTGATCTGCCCACCTCAGCCTCTCAAAGTGCTAGGATTACAGGCATGAGTCACCGTGCCTGGCCTAAAATTGTATTTTAAATAATCGTGTAATCATGCCTATTTTAATAATATTATGAAGTAATATCCCTACTTTGTCAATTGTTACACAGAAGAATCAACATAGTCATTTTTTCCAAACACCTAAAGTCATTCACGGTATGGTAACAGATAGATATCTGGAGCACCTGACCCCCTAGGGATTTTTAAAAGGAAGGCAAGGACAGATTGTAATGTGGTGCTAGGGTAAAGTTAAATAAAGCAAATGAAATCAAGCAAAATATAGCATTCCATTGGGTGTAGAATTTATAGTGTTTAACATTCAATCAAAAATTACCATGCCGCAAAGAAGCAAATATCACTCAAAACCAGGAGGGAAAAAAAATGTTGTCTATAGAAACCTACTTTAAATATAACTACACAGATAGATTGAAAAATAAAAGGATAGAAAACTACATACCACATGACTATTGCTCAAAAGAGAGCCAGGTTACTTACATTGATAACAAATAAGCCTTTAGAACAATGAATATCATCAGGGATAAACAGGAACATTTCATAATGACAAATAGGTCAGTTCATCAATAAGACATAATTCTAAATGTGTAAACATCAAATAGCAGAGCTTCACAATGTATAAAGCAAAAACTAACAGAACTGAATGGAGAAACACAAACGTAGAAGGAAGTTTAAAACTCCTCTATCAGCAACTGACAGAACAAGTAGACAGAAAAGAAGTAAGGATATAGCAGACTTTAGAACCACTGCCAAGCAACCTGACAAAATTGACGTTTATGTAATACTTCTCTCAACAACAGCAGAAACCACATTATTTTTAAGTGCACATGGAACATTCAACAAGAAAGATCCTATTATAAACAATAAAACAATCTCAAAAATTATAAAATACTTAAAATCATACAGAATACCTTCTCTAACAATGATAGAATTAAAATAGACATTAATAATAGAAAGGAATGTGGAAAATCACAAATATTTGGATGTTACACTTCTATGTAAGACACAGGTCAAAGATGAAATCACAAAGGGAAACTAGGTAATATTTTTTAGAGAACCAAAAACTATCAAAATTTCTGGGATGTGGCTAAAACATTTTTTAGAGGAAAACTGATGGCATTAGGTGATATGTTAAATAATAAGGTCTCAAATAAGTGATCTAAGTTGTCACATTTAAAACCTGAAAGAAAGAAGTTCAATGATTTAGGACATCAAGGAAAAGAGAAAATTAAGCGCAACACAAATAAAAGGAAGGAGATAATAAAAATGAGAGAGAAAATTAATGAAATAAAAAGGAGAATACAGAAAACTAAATCAAAAGCCAGTTCTTTGAGGAGAGCAATTAAATTAGTAGACTCCTAGCTAAACTGATCAAAACAATCAAGAAGATCCAAATGTACCAACCTTAGAAGGGAAAGAGGGGCCAACACTACGGACCCCAACATCAATAAAATGATAAAAACTTAATTATTATAGGCGTAAATGACAACACACTTGACCACTTAGATGAAATCACATAATTCTTTGAAAAATAGAAAACTTCCTCAAGAAGACGTGAATAACCAGAATAGCTTTCTGTCAATGAAAGAAAGTGAATTTGTAATTAAAAACCTTCCCACATTTTGGATTAGATGGCCTCACTGGTAAATTTACTAACTTCCCAAGAAAAAAAAGAATGCCAATTCTAAACAAACTTATCAGGAAATAGGAGGAAACACCTCTCAACTCATTTGACATCAGCAGTCCCTTATCCCAAAACCAGACAAAAGCCAGACAAGAAAACTACAGATCTCATGAACACATACACACCTCCACACATAAAAACAATATTCAACCGGTGTAGAAGTATTCCACATGAAGAGCTTCTGCAGAACTTCAATCCATTAGTTAAAAATATTAAAATGTCACACTATTTCATTAGTTTGCAACAACCACTAATTATTATCACAGAAGACTACATTTATTAATTAGCTAAATTTCAATTTAAACCTTAACCTAACTGGTGCATGACATAAAAGAAAGGCTCTAATTTATTTTAAAAGATCCAATCATGTGTGGTAGTGCATCCTATAAGCCCAGTTACTTGGGAGGTTGAGGCAGGAGAATCGGTTGAACCCACAAAGTGGAGAGTGCAGTGAGCTGACATGGCGCCAATGCACTCCAGCCTGGGTGACAGAGCCAGACTCTATCTCAAAAACAACAACAAAACAATTAGCCAATCATGAACCTTTGTCTGGATATATATAGCGATTAAAGTTGAGAATTAAAACAATCTGAATTTGAAACAAGATTTTCAAATTACTGTATCATACAATTTTAAACCAATATTTAAAAAAATAACAGAGCAGATTTAAACACATGGCTCTCTGTAAAACACACTGTATAAAGAAAATATTGTTAAAGTACTTTGGTGCTATTAATTTAAAAAACTTAAATATAGATTATTTTATTATTATTATTGTTTTAAGACAGGGTCTTGCTCTGTGATCCAGGCTAGAGTAGAGTCGAGCAATGCAGCCTCAACCTCCTGGGCTCAAATGATCCTCCAGTCTCAGCCTCCCGAATAGCTGGGACTACAGTTGCATGCCACCATGCCTGGTAAGTTTTTTCGTTTTGTAGAGACAGGGTCTCCCTATGTTGCCTAAGCTGGTCTTGAATTTCTGCTTCAAGCAATCCCCTTGCCTTGGCCTCTCAAAGCCCTGGGCTTACAGGGGTGAATTTATCCTTGTAGCATCTCTATTGCTGTGAATTATTTCTAAGGTACCGGCTGTAACAGTGTAGTCGTACATAAACAAATGCACATTAATGTGTTTGGTGTGGAATGCAGCTCAATATTCTTACTGATGGAGAATGAATCAAAAATGTTTCTGGATGACTGCTTTATACCACCACAGCATATGAAGATCTTCAAAATGCTTGGGACTCGTATGAAGATGAAACTCTAGACAAGACTCTGACCACAGTTAGAGACTACAGGACATCTGTCAATTATATGTTCTCTTTGGGCCTCAATTTTGTCATCTGTCAAAGAGCATTGATTAACGTTACTCACGGAGTTGATTCACACGAAGCACAATGCCTGGAAAATGATATGGGTGATGAAGCCCCAGATAAATGTTAGCCAGTGTCATCAGATAAAGCTCCAGTGTATAGTCAGGAACCAAGGATCCTAATCTCCTGATTCACAGCTGCCTGATGCCTTCACAAAGTTTTGCATCTTTTAAAGATTGCACACAACATTTTTCTTACACAGTGGCTTTCCCTGAGAAGTAAAAGACTAAAAAACATAAATGGAGCTCTGTCCCAGGGAGAAGTTGGTTAATTATGTGTATAAATGGACTCTAGCTCCCAGCTCCTAGCATTTGGTGTGCTTCCGTGGGTTTACAGGAAGGGCAGAGAGATAGATAGCTCTTGCTCCAAATAATCAGCTCACAGGACACATCTTCAGGGGAAGAACTGGGGAATGTGCAGAAGCAACACTGTGGGTGGGAGGAAACGCTCCTGCTTTCCTCCGTCCTAGAGACCCAAGGTGGGTGAGAACAGGAATGTGCAATTAAAGAGGATGAAAGAAAGGAAAGAGGCAGAAGACAGGCAGCTGACATACGGTCTCAGGTGTTCTTGGCATTCTTTTGTTGGGCGATCCGGCCTTCAGAACCCTACGAGCCTAGACATTCTCTGTACTACCTGAGACCTGCAGTGAGCAACAGAAGCAAGTGGGGGGCACCGGGGGTTGACCATGCAAAGAAGGAGAGGGAACCACTTAGAGTGCCATGCATGTCATTAATTCTGTGTGCTGAGAACCATGTCCTGGGCCTCAGTCAAGAAGAGCTTTATGAAGTGAGACATAGAAGGCAGCCTGTG